CCGCCCAAGGAAGGCACTGTAAGGCCCAAAAACCCCAAACCCTAAACCCTAAACCCCAAACCCTAAACCCTCCTAAACAGCATTGTCGGGTCGGATGAGGCGAAGCTGTCGCAGCTCGATGATTGGTTCTCCCCAGATAGGCCGAGACCTCAGCTGTGAGCATGGGAAGGGGAACCGGTCTGGGGTTTAGGGTTTAGGGTTTAGGGTTTAGGGTTTGGGGTTTGGGGTTTGGGGTTTGGGGTTTGGGGTTTAGGGCTTAAAGTGCCTTTTGATTTGGGGTACTGGAGATGCCTTTCACGACCCCTGACCTCGGAATCAGTTTCTAGCCCTATTAGCCCCACAACACTCCAAGCTGAAACCTTGAAGCCGGAAAGCCATGAAGCCGGAACACTCTCTTTTTTGACCCTGAAAGCCTAAATCCCCAAAGCTATAAAACCCAAAACCCCAAATCCTAAACCCTAGCGGCCCTAGCCCCTAAACCCTAAACCCTAAACCCTATCACCCTCAAGGGGACTCTGCATTCCGAGGATGGAGCAGCGTGAGATGCAAAAAACGAGCCGCCGGCCCCCGAGGAAGTCTCTCCATAGTACTCCGTAGACCTTGCGCTCTAGACCTTCTGAAGCCTTGAGGGTTTACGGTAAAAGGGTTGTGGGGTTGCAGGGTTATAGAGTTATTGGGTTATTGGGTTATATGGGGAATTAGGGTTATGGGGTTATTTAGGGTTTTGGGTTTCGGGTCTAGACCTGGCGCTCTAAATCTTACGGGCCTTTACCTCAAGCCGTTAGCCTTAAACCCTATAGACCAATATGGTCCTAGACTCTCAACCTTAATCCCTTCCTTCAACCCTACGCACCCTACATAGTCCCCCTACATAGTTCTAAGCTCTCAACCTGAAGCTCTTAAAACCCCGAGTTTTGACTGTAAACCTTCCCTATAGGCCCTAGGTGCAAGACAGTTTTTTTTTGGTATGGGTTTCTACCGCCGGCTGAATTGATGTGCTTCAGGTTTAGGGTTCAGGGCTTTGGGTTTAGGGGTTAGGGCAGAGTTTGGCATCCCAAAGCCCTAATCCCTAAACCCCGAGCTTTAGCCGCTTAGAGATTTAGGGGTGTTGGGTGTAGCTTCCGGAAGCTGTCTGGGCGGAGAGCCTACGAATCCCGAAGGGCCATTTTGGTATACGTGCCGGATTCGAAAAAGGGGCCTCTACCCTAAGCGACATGGCGGCTCAGGGCTGTAAAGTGTCCCGAGTGGGACCCATGTGAAGTTCAGTGGCAAGGCATGAAAATGCGACGATTCACTCTGCAGAATCTGCTTGCAGGAATCCCCAGGTTCATCTGACGACGACTTGATCGAAGCTCACCAGAGGCGCTTAGTAGGAGAGACCCACACTGGCGGCTTACGTGCGACCGATTTGAAGGTGTCTACTCAGTCCTTCTCTCCCCCGGCCCCTCTTGCTCACATATGTTGAAGCCCCATGATCCGCAGGCCCGACAGTGGGTACAGGGTTGAAGTTTGGGAGACCGAACAAAACTTTTCGTACGGTTTAAGCCTTAAGTTCAGCTAAGGCTAAAGCCCTAAGGCCCGACGCCCTACGCCCGAAACCCTCAAAATCCTAGCAGTTAGTCTTTGATCTCAGTTTGCACTTTTCTGAATACTTAAACCCAACAAGGAGCAAGAATGATCGTTTTTAAATAGTATCCCTAAACCCTAAACCCTAAACCCTGAACCCTACACCCTAAACCCTAAACCCTAAACCCAATGGTGCCGTCTTAAGGCCGGCCGATCACTTCGCCCAAGACAGCTCGCCTTCTTTCCGCCAAGTCGGTGCCAGACCTCCGGCGTAGCCTGAAAAGGCCCGGGGGAGTAGAGTTTTGAGGGTATAGGGTTTAGGGTTTAGGGTTTAGGGTTTAGGGTTAGGGCTTAGGGTTTAGGGTTCAGGGTTTAGCTTTGAAAGCTTTTGAGGGTTTTGCCTCTTGTTCTCTTCAAGGAAGTGGGGAAGTATGCACCCTTCGTAATCCCCTCCAGGGCCATGTAGGGCAGATATATATATATATATATATGGTACCGAACTCCGATTCCCTAATTCCTCTTGAAGAACGACTGCTAGGAAGTAACCAACCTTCCACCCTCAGCACAGGAATTCGGGGTGTTTTTTGCCTTGGGTGTTGGTTTTGGGCCCCACACCCTAACCCATTAACCCCTAACCCTAAACCCTAAACCCTAAACCCTGAGCAACACAGAAGGGCCGAGCTTGAGGAGACGTGGCAGTTTGCACGCGAGCATGTGCATGCAGCGTAACCGCACACATCTAGGAAGTTCCCTGAGAACTCAGCCCTCAACCTTTGGCTCTAAGCCCGAAGCCCCCGAAGCCCCCTAAGGCGCCTAAGGCCCCTAAGCCCTAAGCCCTAAGCACCTACCTCTTCCCAAGAAGCCCTTAGGAAGCTTTGGTGACCTACAACGTGTAGTTTTTAGGGGGTTCTCCAGGCTATGTATCGGCCTGGGGTCCGCTTGAGATCTTACTGCCCAATCTACCCTAAACCCTAACCTATCCTGGGCCCGAAGCTGCCCTAATAATAAGCTGCCCTAATCCCTCAACTTCCCCAGCCAGAAATCACCCTAAGTCCGTTACTTTCCCCGAAGCCCTAGACCCTAAACCGCACGCAAGGGGATTTTTGACTGCAATAGTGGGGCCAAATTTTGTCTAAGGTTTCATTCGGGGTTTAGGATTTAGGGTTTAGGGCTGTTAACTTTTTCCTACATGACCCAACGTAGGCAAACGGAGTCGTTTTCATCGCGAACATCCCCCCCCCCCCCCCCCCCCAAATCTACCAAATCCAAGCCTTTCCACATCCTCGTCTCCGGAGATCGAATTGCCTTAGGGTTCAGGGTGCCCTAAACCCTAAACCTTAAACCCTAAACCTTAAACCCTAAACCCTAAATAAACCCTAAACCCTAAATAAACCCTAAACCCTAAACCCTAAACCCTAAACCCTAAACCCTAAACCCTAAACCCTAAACCCTAAAGGGTTTTTTGTGGTTCAGGGCTTCTGCAACTGAAGCTAGCAGGATGGGCACTACGAATCGCTGGACAGGCGAGCGCGCAAAGAGAGAGAGAGAGAGAGAGAGGAAGTGAGGGAGAGGGTTTAGGGTTTAGGGTTTAGGGTTGTGGGTTGTGGGTTGTGAGTTTTGCGTTTTGGGTTTTGGGTGTTGGGTGTTGGGTTTTGGGTTTTGGGTTTTGGGGTTCTCCATGTCCTTGCCGCCGTGATGTGTGGGTGGTGGGTTTAGTTGTATCAGGTTGCCTGAGCACATTGGTATCATCTTCTTGTCCTCCTAAACCCTAAACCCTGAACCCTGAACCCTAAACCCTAAACCCTAAACCCACGTGCCGCCTGCCAGCCCTTTCGGGAGCTCGAGATCGCAGCCGGGCGACTATGGTCGCGGTCGCCCCTTGGAAGGTTTAGGGTTTAGGGTTTGGGGTTTAGGCTTTAGGGCCTAGGGTTTAGCGTTTGGGGTTTAGGGTTTGGGGTTTGGGGTTTGGGGTTTAGACAGCGGAGTAGATGAGCCTCGCTGGCAAAGATTGGAGTTGACCAGCCCCGCCCTCCCTTGCATTATAAGGGTTGAGGGTTGAGGGTTGAGGGCTTAGCTTGTAGGGGTGGAGCCCAAGGGCAGAGTTTTGGCGGCCGCTCCAGCCTGAAAAATTGCGTTCAGGGGTTTGGGCTGTCTGTGGTTATCACTGACAATATAGAAAGTCCCCGCAATCCTGAACTCGAACTCCTTGCTGTAAGACTCTAAACCGCTGATCTTGAACCCTTAAAACCCAAGCCCCCCAAAAAGCCCGAAAACCCCAAACCTGCAAAGGCTGAGACTTTGTGCTAAAAACCCCAAACCCCCAACTCCAAACCCCAAACCCCAAACCCCAAACCCCAAACCCCAAACCCCAAACCCTAAACCCTGAACCCTAAACCCTAAATCCTAAACCCTAAACCCTAAACCCAACTGTTCTTCAAAGTGTCGCCATTAGGCTCGCGAACTGATCTTCAGCTCGGACCCAGCGCCAGATCTAGAACCTTTGCCTTGCAGAAGAAGGGTTCAAGGTTTAGGGTTCGGGGTTTGGGGTTTAGGGTTTGGGGTGATTTGGTTTTTACGTTTTGGGGTTTAGGGTTGCAGGGTTTCAGAATGGGTTGCGGTTTAAGGTTCAGAGTTTCAGGGGCTTTCTTTCTTGCGTTGAACATCTCCCGGTCCAATACACACCCCTGAACCCCTAAACCCTAAGCCTAAACCCCAAATCCTAAACCCCAAGCCCTGGATCCCAAATCTCAATCCCTAAACATAGACGCATGGGGTGAAGCTGAAGATATTGATTGAGGGGCAACCCTCAACCCTATGGCCCTAGAATTACCCTTACCCTAAACCCTAAACCTAAACACTAAACCCTATACCCTAAACCCTAAACACTAAACCTGAAACCCTAAACACTAAACCCTCAACCCTAAGCTCTAAACCCTAAACCCCTAAACCCCTAAACCCCTAAACCCCTAAACGCCTAAACCCCTAAACCCCTAAACCCCTAAACCCCTAAACCCCCTAAACCCCCTAAACCCCCTAAACCCCTAAACCCCTAAACCCCTAAACCCCTAAACCCAAGACCCCAAACCCAAGCCCCGAAAATCTCGGCATCCTACATGCCAAGGCATCATACGATTTCGGCGTTATGGAGGTGGACGTGTCATCTTCCCGCTCGAAGGTGCGCGCCCGCGCCCGAAACCCTAAACCCCAAACCTCAAGGGTTTAGGGGTTTTGTCGGGTTTGCAGGGTTTATAGGTTTAGCGTATTGGGGAACCCTGACACCCTAAACCTGAAGCCGTACCAGCATCACCGCTATTCTACAGGTGAGTTGAGGGGTTAGAGTTGTTCTTGTGCCGCAGCTTGAACGCTTCTGCGCCGATTTCTGGACGTAGCTGTCACATTACATCCCTGCTCCATCTCTGCGCCGCCTTGGCGCCATGCTGGACCAATGCGTCCTTGTCTTCACTGCCCTGGGATCGCTGGGACAAGGCATGCCACTGCTATTTCAACAGGACACGATGTTGGAGATGCTTGAGGAGAAGGAGAAGAAGGCACTGGGGAACTCCGCCTTCGCTCGCTGGTGCTTGATGGGCCATCAAGGCTGCTTGCACCTCGTCTTGGCTGCAGTCTGTGTCATGTCGGCCGTGCTGTTCCAAGTTCGAGAGCGTTTCTACGTTCACGCCCTCCTCTTCCTTTACAACTTCTCGGCCTTGTTCTATCATCGCAGAATGTGGAATCTCTCGAACCAAGCCCCTCTCTGGTTTGCAAACGAGCAAACTTTCTGGTTCAACGTCTATGCGTTGGTCGCTTCTTCCGCGGCGAATGCGCTTGGTGTCGTTGCCGCCTTTTGGAAGTGGCAAATGACGCTCTGAGAGCGAGTTTCGCAGTGGCAGGTCACGGCGGAAAAGGTTTTGCCCTCAGAAAGCCCTAACCTACCCTAAACCCTAAACCTTAGACATCCTCAAGCCCTAAACCCTAGACCCCAGACCCCAAACCCGAAACCTACCCACCCCCCGAAAGCCCTAAGTGGAGTTTATCAGTGACCCTCGGGTTGAAGGCATAAAGTATGAGGGGTTTCCTAGCAAGAGGTCCTTGGGAAAGCAAGGTCCTTAGGAAAGCAAGAACCCTTTACGTTGTTACGCCAATATGAGATAGGTGGGAGGGGGGCTACTTGGGCCCGGACTTAGTCCCAAGGAAGCCCGCCTCACCCTACAAACCCTAAACCCTAAACCCTAAACCCTAAACCCTAAACCCTAAACCCTAAACCCTAAACCCTAAACCCCGAAACCTAAACCCTAAGCCCCAAAGCCATCCCGCAGCTCACCCAAAGCCAAGCGCAGACCCAAAAGATGAAAATGTGAGTAGCCGAGGTCCCAAATCCCAATTCTACCCCCCCTGACACCTGGACACTAGAGTCTAAACCCTAAACCCTAAACCCTAAACCCTAAACTCTAAACCCTAAACCCTAAACCCTAAACCCTAAACCCTAAACCCTAAACCCTAAACCCTAAACCCTAAACCCTAAACCCTAAACCCTAAACCCGATATGAGAGCCCACCCGGCTGATGGCAGGTGGACCATTGCCTGAGAGCCTCCAACACCATCGCGGCGGGCTTCAAGATCCAGTGAGGCTTAGGGGGCTCGTAGGGTTTAGGGCTTAGGCAACTTCATCTAGGCTTTAGGGTTGAGAGGGTTTAGGGTGTAAGTAGGGTTTAGGGTTTAGGGCTTAGGAAATTTAGGCAGGCTTTTGCTGGGTTTGGGGGTTGGTCTTTGGGGGGCTTTGGCGTCGGTATCTTAGATCGAAGTCAGAAATGTTTTGAATGAAGTGAAGCCACTCCATACTGCGAAGCAGAGGAGGCTGGCTCCGGCTGCACACACCCGTAGGGTTTGGGGTTTGGGGTTTAGGGTTTAGGGTTTAGGGTTTGGGTTTAGGGTTTAGGGTTTAGGGTTTAGGGTTTAGGGTTTAGGGTTTAGGGTTTAGGGTTTAGGGTTTAGGGTTTAGGGGGGTAGGGCTGCGAATTCCTGGTGCTGCTTTAGGGTTCGGGGCCTTTGGTAGCTGGAAGTTGGGATGGGTTCGGTTGGGGTGTCCCAGGGCCAGCTTAGATGAGACTGGCTTGCACGTGTTGTGTTGAAGCGCTGCATTCTCGCACATTTCCCGTTAGGGTTTAGGGCTTAGGGCTTAGGGTCTAGGTCTCAGGGCTTAGGGTGTTGCACTTTTGGAGGGTGTAGGGTTTCGGGACACTCACCCCGTCCACCACCTCCAAGCATCACGACACCAGAGCACCGGTCACCTCTGCCTGAACAACCCAAATCCTGCCTTTGTAGGGTGCTGGGGCCTTAAACCCGAAGCGCGAAACCTCTTAAGAAGGATTCTTAGGTAACCCTTCAAGAAGTAGGTCGAGGCTCTGGTTTCTTGTATGCCCTCCACCAGGGTTGGGGACGACATACGATTTGCGCATGCATCATGGGTTGATGGCTGACGCCCCCAAAATGCGAGAACACGGTGTTGGAGTACGGCGAAGCCGTACGTAGCCGAACAGGACTGCGAAAGCAGGGTTCACAAAGACGAAAGCTGTATATGTACATGCGAGCCTCAGAACTCTGGCGGCAGTGCTCAGCCTGCGCGCTGGCACGGCCTCTTCCCGCGGTAGTGGAATCGGATCCTCACGGTACCCTGGCCAGTATAGACAACACCTGATGCCCTCTCAACCCCATGCACCCTAAACGTACCTCCTCTCCCCTGTACAAACCCTCAACTACCCGGGGCTCAAAGGGACACGGCCCCGCCTTTGCCTTTCCGAGACCTGCTTACCAGTGCCAGCCATGGCGGAGGGAGAGGCGCAGGGGGATTTTGGGAGCACCCTCAGCCCTGAAGAGCACTCTATGAGCCCCAACTCCCGGGAAGCACAAGGTGTCAAGGCCCTGAGGTCTAAGGCCATATCTGGGGCTTAGGTAACCCCAGGAGTATCCGTGTCTCATGTTCATGGTTTTGGTGCCCTTTGGGCATCTTGGGACATGGAAGAGCAGATACGTTGAGGTCCTGTGGCCCTAAGCCCCATGAAGCCGGCGGTAAACCCAAGGCTGAAAACCCTGAGCCTTATACACTCTAAGCCCTCGGCATTTAAAAGGCCTAAGTACCCCCCAAAAGCCCTGAACCCTTATATGAGTGTTGACGAAAATAGGGGACCCCAATATAGACCCCCAAACACAAAGATCCCCTGAAAATAAGGGCAACAAGAAGGTACACCTAATTATGGGAAACCCCCATCTCTGCACCCTAAGCCGGAAGGCTTCAAAAGGCCTCTCAGGAACCCCTAAAGCCCTGAACCCTCAAATGCCCTAAGCCCTAAGCCCTAAACCCTAAACCCTAAACCTCAAACCCCAAGCCCTAAACCCTATAAACCCTAAACCCTAAACCCTAAACCCTAAACTTTGCTTCCAGGATGCACCCAAGAAGCGCACCTTCAAGAAGTACTCCTACCGCCGAGACCTTGAATCCCCGGGTCGTTTTGGAGGGTTTAGGGTTTAGAGTTTAGGGTTTGGGGTTTGGGGTTTAGGGTTTAGGGTTTTAGGGTTTTAGGGTTTTGGGGTTAGGGTTTATGGGGTTTAGGGTTTAGGTTTCGTGCAACGATTCTTCAGGGGCGGTACGATGTCCGTGGTAGGTGAGACCCCGAGGGGCGGCGCTAACAAGGTTTGCGTCTTGGACGAGGGGGGGCGACACTCTTCTCTCGCCCTTTCCTTGCCTGCAAGAGCGATAGTGCCATCGTCTTCTCCGTTTCCGGAATTTCGCCTTTGGTTCCGGACGGACGCTGTCGCTTCATTCGCTTCCCGCTGACACCCTGCCCCTGCGGCTTCGTTCCTGCCGCCCTGCTCTGCTGGGCCCCCATTTGCCATCTAGGAGATGCCGACACCCGTGTTCCCCCATAACCAGCATCCTACTTTCAGCTCAGCTTCTTTGTTCATGCTGCCTCCGCTTCTCCCCTCACCCCAGCTTCGTTCTTGCGAATTTATTGGGGTGTTGCACGTGTTCAGTTCCCTTGCATTTGCCATGTCTAGGCAGGATACCCGTCACTTTGGCTTTGCTGGGCTGCAGATCCGTCCTGCTGCCCATTTTTCTCCCTGCCCCCGCAGGCTTTCTATGCAGAAAACGGTCAGCACATCGGTCAAAACTGTGCTCAGGCGACCAGCTTTCGCCTTAGAGCAGGCACGAAGTAACTTTCTTGGCCCGAGATAGTTGCCTTTGTCGCTCCGCCACTTGATGCCAGTATTCCTCCTGCTCTTGAACCTGTTGGGTAGGTGTATTGAGCCAGCCTGTGACCTGCGAGGGGGTTTAAATTCAGTTAGGGTTTTAGGTGTTCGCAACCCTGTCGGCCCAAAAGCCGTTACAGCATGTCAAGGCCTCAAGCCCTCAGGAATACGTGGGTTCAGACTTAGGGCCAGGGAGCTCAACTGACGAAGCCAGAAAACAGGTCCATAAACCCAAATCCCTAAACCACTAGACCCTAAACCTTAAACCCTAAACCCTAATCGCTTGCCATCCGCAGCTTCATCCTAAGGGGGAATTGATCTGGACAAGTTGCTGGACATGAGCAACCAGGAGTCGACGTAGGGCTTAGGGTTTAGGATTTTGGGTTCAGGGCTTGGGGTTTAGGATTGAGGGTTTAGGGCTTCGCGACCCTCAGCCGAAAACGCGAAGCTTTGGGCGGACTGGGGCTTAGGTGCTGGGTCGGAGTCCCATGAAGACATCCGTGCCTGACTTGCCCTAAACCCCCCCGGCCAAAAACAATAATAAGGTACAATCCATCAAGTGCAGCAAGGATGACCTAACAGCCTCAAACCCCTGAACACTAATCCCTAAAGCCCTATCAACCCTATAAACCCCCATCAAGTGCAGCAAGAATGACCTAACAGCCTCAAACCCCTGAACACTAATCCCTAAAGCCCTATCAACCCTATAAACCCCCATCAAGTGCAGCAAGGATGACCTAACAGCCTCAAACCCCTGAACACTAATCCCTAAAGCCCTATCAACCCTATAAACCCCCATCAAGTGCAGCAAGAATGACCTAACAGCCTCAAACCCCCTGAGCCCTAATCCCTAAACCCCTGTAAACCCTATATACCCTCGAACAGGACCTCATGGAGCTCTTCTGCGCACGTCAGCGCCGGAAGTTCTCGCGCGGGATCAAGCGGAAGTCGGAGGACCCAGTTTCGTCAGGGCTTAGGGTTTAGGATTTAGGGTTTAGGGTTGAGGGTTTAAGTCTTTTGGGGCTTTGGGGTTTGGAGGGCAGGGTCTGGGGCTCTGCGGGGGTCATAGGCTGTACTGTTCATGGTGGCTTCTTGAGGGTCAGCACTGACGGAGGACTTTGGGTTTTTGGGGGCTGTTCAGGGGGTCCAGAGAACCCCCCAAAAACATTATTGAACCCTGAATGCCACCTAAATATCACTCCTTCAAAAATGGTTATCTGGCATGGGTTCAACTAGCGGCTTTGGATTCAGGGTGTTTCTTGGGGCGCAAAGCCCCGCATCCTCAAACCCCAAATCCCTACTTAAAATCCCTACGGTCGCGAACCCTAAGCCCTCAACCCTCAGCCTTCAACCGGTCGAGCTCAGGCCCATCACTGTGCTGAAGAAGCTTCGCAAGGCATGCGCTTTTTGGGGGAAGGGAACAGGGGCTAGTTCGGGGGGGCGGTTCGGGGGGAAGGGAGGGGGGAGTGGGCTTTAAGCCAACCCCGTGGACCTGTGCATTTTGGGGTTCAACCCTACCCCGGACCCCTCTAGCACCTCCGCTATTGGGTCTCTTTCCAGGCGTCGTCCGCGAATACGACTCAAAGCCCTGAACACAAGGTTTAGGGCCAGTTTAGGGTTCGAG